CTCTGCCACTCAGTGCCAAAGAGCCCAGGGGCCTCTCACTCCTTCGCTCCCAGCGGAGCAGCGAGGGAGCAAAGGTCTGTCCTGAGTGAGTTATAAAAGCCGCTCAGAGCCAGGAGCCCTGAGGTGTCCCCCACCCGGCCCCCCGCTTGCCCACCCCTGCCTAGGGTGGAGCAGGATTAACTCCAGGCTGGCCAGCCTGCAGCTCCCGACAGTGCTTTGAGAGGAAGGAAGGAGGTAGGGGGCGCCTTCCAGACCAAGCGCAGCAGCCACTGCGAGCTCCTCTTTGCAAAGCACCTGGGAGTCCTCTGATGGAGGAAAGTGACAAACTGGGGGACTGAGGCCTGAGAGCACTGCATGCCTCCTAGGGATGACAAAGCCACTCAGGCTCAGCGCCTTCCTCCTCATCACCCACCCCACTAGCTGCCAAATGCAGATCACCCCACTGTGAAAGCTGAGCAGATGTCCACCCTCCAACCCTGCAAACTAGCCACAGAGACTCCTGACCAGCCCCGGGCAGACATCACTAATCAATTCGGCACAGGCTGAATCCCTGCCAACCCAGACCTTCAGCAGACACTACCAGTTGATCAGATTTGACCCGGGAGATTTAAAGGCTCCCTCAGTCTAAGTCTGGGCAGCGAGATCTGCTGGGTGTCCTTCCCACAGCACAGCACAGCACAGCACACACCTGTACATTGGCCCTTAATGAATGAAGGAGGAAGAGAATGAATGAATGAGCCAGTGCACACCCAGCCTGTGCCAGCTGCTCAGACAGAGACCCAAGACAGGAGAGGGCATGCTACATGCTATGCGCATCCTCCAGAGGTAGAATCACCTGAAGACCAGTCTTCCGCAAGCCCCTGGTGCTCCTTGCTGTGACCTCAGAGAAGACACCCAGGCCCTCCAGGCCTCAGCTGTTTCACCCGTGTCACAAATTATAACTGAAGCTGCCTCAAAGGTTGGCCTGGGGGCTGGAGAGAAGGCTCAGTGGTCTAAAGCACCTACTTAGAACAAGCTAAGCAAAGCACAGGGACCACGGTTCAATCCCCCAGCACCACATGCCAGCCCGCCCTGCCCCCTGGTGGGCTGAGCTGGCCACACACACACACACACACACACACACACACACACACACACACATAAATAAATAAATAAATAATTTTTAAAAAAGGTTGGCCTGGGCCTCAGGGCCCCTGACCTTGAGCCTGCTGAGAGGCAGAGCTCCGAGGATCAGAGCTGCTGCCCGCCTTTCTTGTTATGCCTGAAACCAGGGCCCGATGTCTGCCTGGGCACTGGGTCTGTGCCAGACCGTGCAGGGCAAACATAGCCGTTGGTAGCTCGTTAACTTCTCCCAGGGCCAGCGGCAGGTGTGGCCCTGCGGCTTGCAAGTGGGGCCGCCCTGGCTCTGGGACCCCAGCCTGGCTTCGCGGTGCCACTGACCACAGAACAGCGTCCCTGCCCCGGAGCCTCAGAGCTCCTGCGCCTGCGTGGCCCCTAGTGCTCAAAGGGACCCAGCAGGGCCCCTCGTGCTGGCCATACCCCACTCTCTCTCGGTGCTCCCCTGCGCTCAGAGTCCCTTTCTACAATGGAGTTGTTCACTCCAAGACATCCCTATGTATTTTGCCTGCTTCCCCCTAAATCATGGCCTTCTGGGGACAGAGTCATATTTGTCCTTTCAGCCTGTTCAGGGGACTCCAGAGGATGAATGTGCAAGTCAAATCTGTCTTCCCTCCTCCCCACACAAAGCCCTCAATGGAGCTCTACCTATCTGCACCCTCATCCTCAAACCCAGCTCTGAGCATCCCCTGGGCAAAACTCCCTGCTGACCAGGCACCTTCTAGCCCTGCCACGGGCCCAGCCCTTGGTGACCAGAGGTCTCCTGGCACCCGTGTATGCACTGGGTGGTAACTGATGTGGGACTGGCACTCCCTGGGGTTTGACGGGTGCCCAGGTCCCCAGCCATCCCAGGCCCTGCTCCGTGCTGTCCCAGCAGACACTCAGTAAATATTGAGGCATTAATTAACTTCCTCCAGGGAGCAGTGACTCGGGCCAGATGCAATCTCCCCAGCTGAGAGCTGGCAGGGGGACAATGCCCAGCCTTGCTCAGGTGTCCAGACAAGGCCAGCACTTCACCCCAAAAGCTTCATCTCTCTCTCACCCATCCCCACCACCCTCGGCACATTTGTGGCTTCATGCTGCGTGTGCTGCACCCCCAGCCACCATGGGCCCAGGGCCCCCCATAGTTCAGCTGCTGCCTTCGCTCCTTTGGTGAGCGTTTTCTTACAACAGCTGTAACAACTCTCCTGCCCAGGCCACCCCAAAAAAGATCAAGGAGTTTTACTAAGCCAGACAACTGCTGAGCTGTCCCCTTGCACCACCCCTCAGTTCTTGAGGAGAGCTCAAGTGAGTGTCTGTCCGAACAAGAAAGTCCAGGGAGAGGGGTCATGTGTGGGGTTGGCTGCTTCTCAGCTGGATGGCAAGGCCCTAAATGAGCTCAAAATTTAGCCATGTGTGGTGGTGCACGCCTATCATTCCAGAACTGGGGAGGCTGAGGCAGGAGGATCCCTTCAAGTTCAATACCAGTATAAACTGCAGTGAGAGCTTGCCTCAAAAAACAAGCAAAAAGGGCTGGTGAGGTGGCTCAGTGGTCTAAAGCACCTACTTAGAACAAGCTTAGCAAAGCACAGGGACCGCGGTTCAATCCCCCAGCACCACATGCCAGCCCGCCCTGCCCCCTGGTGGGCTGAGCTGGCCACACACACACACACACACACACACACACACACACACACAAATAAACAAATTTAAAAAAAAAAAGCAAAAAGAGCTCAAAGTTCACCTTGTAGCACGGCTGCATGAGGGTTGGGATGCACCAAGAGGAGCTGCGCAAGTGAGGTGCTGGCTCCCGCACACAGCATCTGTCCCCTCCCTAACCCACCTGGATCCCCCAGCATCGCTCCAGCAGGAAGAAAGGCTCTGAAGGAGAACCTGAGACTGAGCCTTGCCTCTCCACGGGCTCCTGCAGGGAGGGCCTGGTCAGCAAACAAGTGGTGGGACTCAATTGAGTCAAGACCAGGAGCACGGGACGGAGACGAAGTCGTGCAAGCTGCATCTCCCCAGCTCCCAGTTCGCCTTCTCCGGGCGGTGTGACCTTCAGTCTCCATTTCCACGATAAACACCAGGCAAGGATGGAATGAACGCACTGCGGTCCCAGACTGGCCGCTGGAGTCATGCGAGAGCTCCTCAAGTTCCCAGTCCACCTCTCAGGCTGGTGACATCGGCAAGGTGCACCACAAGCCTCAGGAAGTGAAGCTGCTATAAGCTTTTGAAGGAAGGGGCCGCGTGGTTTATTCCTACAGCTACCATCACATGAGCAGGCTCCTAGCCCCTGGCATCCCCAGATCACTATGAGGCTGGAGGTAAAATGTGCTTGTCTTGAAGTCTTCCTAAAATTTAATTCTGGCTTCTCTAGGAGTGGGGGAAAGGGTGCTACTGTTTCCGGGGTCTCCGAGGTGGGAGGGCCAGAGGCCCACTCCTGGAGCTGTGTGGTCTGTGGCAAGTCCCTTTGCTTATTAGTATCCAGTGCCCTGACCTGAAAAATGGGCGAAACACCCCCTAACTCTGTCTTCACCCCATCGGGACAATGATTAGGGCTAGAGGAAGACCCCCAAGGCTGCAGGGTGGGCTGACTGGGTCCGCCAACCCCTGCCTCAGGATAAGGTTGGTGTCAAGAGCCAGACAAAGGGAAGATGCAGCGAGGAGGGGAAAGCCTGGAAATCTGCAGAAGCGGCCTCCACTGCACTCCACCGTCCCACCTGGCTCTTGTGGTCTCCTTGGTGCTCCTCAGATAAACTGTCCCTCGGCCCTGCCCTGGCACCTTGGATTGCCCTCAGAGCACTGTCAGTCCCTTCAGCCCTCCCTGACCAGACAGAGTCCCCCAAGGAATCAGCAATCCCATTGCTCTCTTCTTCCTGCCTGGAGAAGGCAGCCCATGGTAGCCAAGGGCAAGGACTTAGCGTTGCAGGAAGCTGCAGACCGTGGTTCAAATCTTGACTTCATCTAAGGGGGGCTGTGAGACTGATTCCCAAGTCCCTCCCATCCTTGGATCTCAGCCCACCCCCACCCATTCTGCAAAGGTTAAGGGGAGGAATCGAGGCCTTTCTAGCCAGAGCCTGCCCCCTACGAGACACATAATAATGGGCCCTATTGTCATTGTTATTCTCCAGCAGCAGGGAGAGGTTACAGAGAGATGGTTAGGGACCTGAGATTGCTCCCCTAGCCTTTGGGCCCTTACATCCTTGTGCAGGCCTGGAACCTTTTCCATCTGAGATTAAAATGCATCCGGCTCGGGCTTTTCCTGCAGACAGATGGAGAAGCCTCCCCTTTGGTCCCTCGACCAAAAGTCAGGGAGCCAGGCCAACCCTCGCTGTGGTTCGGAAGAGTACCCTCAAGCCTCTCTCCCTGGAGGGTCCCCCAGTGTCACTATTTCTTTGCAGCGACCTTTGCTCCCAATGTCCTCGGGGGCTGGAAAGGGGACAGAGGAGGCGCCACCAGTGGGGATCAGGGAGCGTGCACCTGCCGCAGGTGAGGCCAGGCTTGAGGAAGGGGGAGGAGCCGTCGCAGGGCTGCCGGGTGGGCTGACCCCGGGTTCCGCTCCCGAGGGCAACCGAGGGCATCCGTGAGCGTCGACGTAGCCCCTGAGAGGCAGCCTGCGCTGTAGACAGCGGCCCCGGCAGCTCCGAGCCCCGCGCTGCGCGGCAGCCCCAGGAGAACATTCGAGGCAGCCGCGGCGTTGGAGGCCCCAGGTCCGTTCGGTATTTGAATAGCACAAAGGAACCGCCTTGGTCTGATTGGCTAGCAGAGCAGCCCAGGGGCGGGCATTGTCTGTCACTCGGGAGGCCCTGTGTCCTTCTATTGGCTTAGCCGCTGGGAGGCGGGGTCCGGCTTCCCGGCTAAATAGCTGGGGCCGGGGCCGGCCGAGGCTCATTGCTTTGGCGCCGTCTGGGGAGCGTGAGCCAGTGGGTGGCGCGCGGCGCATGGTGGCGGCTCCTCTCGGAGCGCAGCCGACCCGCTGACCTGGGCTCCGTTCCCCCTTGCCCAGCGCGCCTTGCAAGCCGACTGGAGGCAGAAACAGCAGCAGTACTAACAGGAGCAGCGGCGGCTGCTTCGCCGCGGGAGCATGGAGTGCGCCTTGGACGCCCAGAGCCTGATCAGCATCTCCCTGCGCAAGATCCACAGCTCCCGGACCCAGCGCGGCGGCATCAAGCTGCACAAGAACCTCCTAGTGTCCTACGTGCTCCGCAACGCGCGCCAGCTCTACCTGAGCGAGCGCTACGCCGAGCTCTACCGGCGCCAGCAGCCTCCGCTGCAGCCGCAGCCGCCCCTCCACCAGCACCAGCCCCTCGGTTACGCGGCGGCGGCGCCCGGCATGCCGGCCAGCGCGGCCGACTTCGGCCCACTCCAACTTGGCGGCGGCGGC